ACAACCTTCAGTGCCTTCTTCAGATGCGGTCATCATGGGATCTTAAATGGCGTGTAGAATTGCTGATTGATACTCGGTGAACGGAATCACCACCGTCCCGCGTGGATACGGTTGAATATCTGCTCAGTCTAACTATTGACAACACCGAGCATCAAAATGCTTATGAAACGTTGAGTGGGACGTGACAGTGTTAGCTGGCTTCAGCCATCTTCTCATCGCCGTCGTCATCATTCACGACCTTCCGGCCCGCCGCAACTTCTCGGGCCTCATTGGCGCACTCCAGGGCAACTTCAGGGATCCTGACAACCGTTTCTCGATACTCACCCGAGGAACTCCAAAGTTTCCCTCGAAACCACCCCGAGATGAGATGCCCTCAACCATTGCGACCAACTCCCAGTGGCCTACAAGAAATCTTTTCCCTCCAATCCTCTCCGTCGAGCCGCATCCACTACGCCCAACATGGAGTCAATCGTTACCTCAGAGAAAGAACTGCCGAGAGCCTCAATCTAAACAGAAGCCTGCCAGCACCATCATCGTGTTACAGCCTATCGAAGATTCTCAGTGACATTCCTCTCTAAGCAAAGTTTTTCTTTCCCCAGCTGTCTTGGGTTTCCCCACACACCACTCCCCTGGATATTGATCAGCCCAACTTACACATGCACACAGAAGGGCTATGGCCTGTCTCGACGCCTGGTCAACTTCTTGGAACCTATCAAGTCACCACTGCACTCACATCAACGCTGATGATGAACCGACCCTTTCTCGGTCTGTGTGAAGTTGATGGACTGAATATGGCCCGACTGCTTCGGCTTCATACCAACCCAAATCCAACCGTTCAGACCAAGCACGACTTGTAACTGATAACAATCAGTAAAGGTCAATACCACTCCCGCCCTGCTCACATGATCAAAGGGTGCCGGTAAATTCTCAACAATATGTGAAGACTGCCTCCTCACCAGCGACGAGGACACTAAGGAGAACCATCAGTGAGATGAGGATCTGCTGTAGGTGTTGTTGCTGTTACTACCTCTAACCATCTGGCCATTATACAGCTTGCCGTACTTGGCACTACGAGTGTGTAGAATAACATCTCCACTGTCCGATACCACCTTCTGAATCTGAAC